AAAAGGACAAATACTTTGCAATGGGTTTACATTGCTGCCTGGTACATCTAGAAGAATTCAGCAAAGACTCATCAATTGCTTTCACATCACACTCAGTTACACTAGAGCATTTAAGCAAGCTGAGGCATGGTGGCTCACACATGTAATCCCAGCACTTTGGGAGGTCGAGGCAGGCGGATCACAAGGTTAGGAGTTCCAGACTAGCCTAACCAACATGGTGAAACCCCATCTCTACTAAAAATAGAAAAATTAGCTGGGTGTAGTGGTGTGCATCTGTAATCCTGGCTACTCAGGAAGCTGAGGCAGGAAAATCACTTGAACCTGGGAGGCAGAGGTTGTAGTGAGATTGCAGCACTGCACTAGAGCCTGGGTGACAGAGTGAGACTCCATCTCAAAGAAAAAAAAAGATTCCAGCTGGATCTTGAATATTTTTTATCAAGTCTTTTTGTGGAGCAGATTGATAGAAAATAAAACAAGGGCTTTCTTTTCTAGAATTCCCAAAACATTTATAATAGCTACTACATAAAATAAAATGTACACTCACTGAGGATCCACATGGCTTTTTCATCCATCCATTACTTGCTTACCCAAAGGTGTAGTGGGTCCAAGTACCTGAGTTTACACAGTGTACCAGTCACTTTACAGAACATACAAACATTTGCCCTATTTGTTTTTATTCTTAAAACAACTCAAAAAATAATAATAACTGGGCCTAGGTTAGGTTTACTCCTCACTACCTTAAAATGTTTGTTCAAAAATCTGTAATCCAAAATTTAAACCATATCCTCAGTGAGGTACAGCTCCTACTTTAGAATATGGAGAGAGGTAAGAAAAGATTTTGACTGAATCCCCAAACTGCTGACGACGATTGTGTTTGTGTCCAACACGGTCGCCACTAGCCACATGTGGCAATGAATGCTTGAAATGTCGCTAAGGCGACTAAAAAAACTGAACTTTTAATTTAACTTTAATTAACATTAAGATTAAAAACTGAAGTAGTATAAAAATATTTCACCCTCTTATTTTGTTAGGACTGCATTTAAGTTTCACTATTGAAAATGTAGCATAAGATACCCTGGAAGCATGCAATAAACACTGGACTTAGTATTAAAAAAGAATGTAAAATATTTCTCACTAATAACTTTATATATTGATTTTCTGTTGAAATGGTTATATTTTATATATTAATTTGGTAAAACATTATTAAAATTAATTTTACCTTTTACTTAACTTTTTTAAAAATGAGGTTACTAGAAAATTTAAAATTAGATATGTGGCTTGCATGTATTTCTATTTTAGACAGCACTAGTTTAAAATATATTTTCTATGTAGAAACCCCATCAACTCGAGCTGAAAAGCTCATCCTTCTGATATTTTTCTCCATGCCCAGCCCATAGTCTAGAATCCCAGTGTTCCCATTTCTACATTCCAGCCCATGGGAGAAGCACTCGCCCAGGCTCAACCTTGGAGTTATTCTTCACTGTGAGAAAGCTAGGGGAAGAAGGACTCAGCAAACAAGTCCAAGTCCAAGTACTCCACCTTTGTGGAATCTCTCCTCTCTACCCCTGCATTTATTTTCATTACTATCAGCCTTGCTGTTTGCAAGGCCCTGAATGCCTCGCTGCAGGCAACAGCAGCCCTTCTCTGTTTCAACGGATTGCCTCCCTGTTGCTGCATCAGGATCACCTGAGGCACTTATTAAAAAATGCAGATTCCTAGTTCCCATCTCAGATCTTCTGTATCAGAAACTGTTTTTAGCATCTCTGTGCATGGGTTCAGGAATCTGAAGAAGTGACACGTAAGCTGAGATATGAAGGAGAAGGAATTAACCAGGTGCAGGGGGAAGAAAGCTTTGCAGGTTTCAAAAGCAGCATGTACAAAGGCCCTGGGATAAGCAGTTTGTGCTTTTAGAACAGTCATTAAACCAAAGGCCCAAAGAAGCTTTCTTCTCTGATCCTTCATCCCACCCCCAAACTTAATAGAAGGTTTAGTCTCTCTCGCTGGCCAGGATGTAAATTCTGTGAGGGCAGGAGCCAGATTTGACTTGTTCTCCACTTTATCCAAAGTGGCTAGCACAAACTTTATACACAGTAGATGCTCAGATAATACTCTTATTTACATTTAGCACCCAAAAAAGTGCAGTAATAAACACGAAATAATTTCTGTCTTTAAATTGTTCCCATCCCCTGTAACCATTTCTCTTTAAATAAGCAGTCCTCTAGCACAGTGGTTCTCAAACTTACTAGAATTCCCTAAAGGGCTTATTTAAAACACAGGTGGTGAACCCCACCCTGAGAGGTTTTGATTCAGTAGATCTGATTCACTAGGGGAGGGCCTAAGAATCTGCATTTCTAACAAATTCCCAGATGATGCTAATGCTGCTGGTCCAGAGACCATACCTCAAGAACCACTGCTATAGAGGGGAAATAAAAGGAACTCAACATCAAAAACTAGATTACTCTAGTTCTGGCTCTGCCACATAATAGGAGTGTGGCCTTGTAAAGGTATTTAATAACTTCTTTGGGGACTTATGGCCCTTAACTGTGTGGGAAAGGAATTAAAAAAAAAAAACACAAAACTATCCCAATTCTTTGTAGTCATGAAGATTGGATGGAACCTAGTACATGAAAGTGATTGGTCAATTAGAAAGTCCCCAATGAATAAAAAAATGTTATTAATGGTGTTTGATATTAAAGGTGCTATTCATAGTGGTGGTATCAACAGGGAGCTTACAGACATACAGGAAGCCAATGAGAGAGGTGGAAACAGAGAACTTCGTCACCTGTATGTGCAAGGCAAGGGCACAAGGGCTTCCTTATAAGACTTTAACTGGAGCCCAACCTGCCTCATGGAGCACAGCCAGGGAAATACACAGGATTAAAGAAATCCCTAGGGGCCACATGCCATTTTTAACAACTGTTAACTTTTTCTAAAACGTTCCTTTTGAGAAAAAGAGTTAGATTCTTAGTGAATTTGTTTGACATGTTGGAGGAAGACTGTGTTGGTCATGAAAATTAGTTACCAACCCAGATGCTTAAATAAATTTAACTGTTGAAAATTAAAGAGCTTTTGCAATGTGTAATTTGTAAATCCAATACATGTGTTTTCAAATACTTTACTGTGTTTCTGATAAGCCAAGGAATGCCATAAAATTATTTTTTATTTAATTAAAAATGTATGCAGTATTCTAGCAGCTTCCAGTGTGCTGAGTGAGGTTTAGCCAACAAACACCACTGTTCCCCACCACCTTGACACAATGCAAAACAAAAACCTGTAACTGTTCAGATATTACTATAATTTTCAAAAGACTGCAAACTCACTTAATAATTTAGAGCTCAACAACACTTATACCTGAAGCTATATGTGCTCAAGTTTTGAAATAGGCAAGCCTGATAATTTGGGGAACCTACATTTTTTTTAAGCAACAAGTTTAATTTGTTTGCTTTTTTAAAAATTTAACTTTGTTTTTATTCTTTTTGTTATTGTTCTTCAAGGTTAACTTTAAAAATTATTTTAATCAGCTTTTTGGAGTTAAATCCAAATAAAACTTAATGTCATCTTGGAAATTTAAATATATTTTGGTGATTACCAGTTACAATAAAGTTAAAAGCTAGGTATATACTAAATTTGAAGAAAAATGTTATTAGAACATTAATCTTTCCCTTTCAAGATGACAACTACACCACGTGAATTTGTTTGAAACTCATTTGCAGGCCATTTTTTTTCCATTTAGAAGCAATGGTATTACTCTGTAAGTCAAGTTCTCGCAAGTCAATTTGATGTATTAAATAGAAAGTTGATTATTAAAAACTATGAATTTTAACTCACGTTTAGTCAACTTTTGTTTTTTGCTTTCAAATATAAAGATCACCATACTGCAGAGGATACATGCAGGAACAGACTCTTACTACAATGACCAAGTTATTATTATTATTATTTTTCTTAAAGAGAGTGTCTCGCTTTGTTGCCCAGACTGGAGTACAAGGGGGCAATCAAAACTCACTGCAACTTCCAATTCCTGAGTTCAAATGATCCTCCCACATCAGCTTCCCAAGTAGCTGGGACTATAGGCTCTGGCGCCACCACACCTGGCTTTTTTTTTTTTAAAGAGACAATGTCTCCCGATGCTGCACAGGCTGGTCTTGGACTCCTGGCCTGAAGTGATCCTCCCACTTCAGCCTCACAAAGCTCTAGGATTACACATATGAGCCACTGTGTCTGGTCCCAAACTATTAATTTTTCAATCACCTTAAAACATTTTAAGAATGACGAAAAAAATTCACTTTTGCTCCAAACAACATGTTCCAAGCATGGGTAATATCAAGGTATCACTCTGAAAGTGATACCACTAAATCAGAAGTACACCCTATGGAAGTAAGTCAACATAGAGAAGGAAACTTCCCCTAGAAATCCGATCAATTTCAGAGGTTGGCAACTTAAGTGTACAACTCCTAGTAAGTATAGCCAAGGAATTAATTTTTCTTGCAGGGAGGGAGGTAGTAAGAAAAAGATAATTGGGAAGTACACAGATTTGAGGGAGGGTACACCTGCATGACACCCTACTGGGGAGATCTTTGGGAAGCCTGAGGGCAGGTGAGAGGACTATGTGTCTGTGAACCACAGAAAATGCAGGGATGTGGAGGGCCAGGGCAGGTGGGGAGAAGAGACTAAACTAGGCCTTATCAGATCAGGGACCCATGGTGGTCATCCACTGGTACATATCACATTAGCTGACAATGCCTAATTTACTTTCCTGGAAACACTAAATGTTTCTTTTTTTTGCTAACCAAAAATTTAGAAATATAAGCCTAAATAATTTATTATTTGGATAAAAGTTAACTTTTTGCTATATACGTGTTTTATATATATATCTTTTAAAATACCATTGATCTATCTATATCTATTCATATATATGAAATATATATTATATATAATATTACATATATAATATATAGATATAGATATAGATAGATCAATGGTATTTAAAAAAACAAAAAAGGGTAATCCAAAAACCGCATAAGATCTGCTTCTGGAAGCTATAAAATAAATGGCTTCAGTTACCTAAATTTATTTTAATTAAGTTAATGAGAACAAAATTGATATTCCCTGATTATATAAATGCAGATGGTAGAAAAGCATGTAAATAGCTCATATGGTAATTTTCTCTAAAATTAAAAAAATAAAGGCATTTTTATCCATCTTCAAGAAGCCCAAATGAGGCCAGGTGTGGTGGGTCACACCTGTAATGCCAGCACTTTGGGAGGCCAAAGCAGGCAGATCACCTGGGCCCAGCCCAGGCAATGTGGTAGGACCCTGCCTCTACAAAAAAATTAAAAAATCAGCCAGGGATGGTGGTGCACACCTGTGGTCCCAGCTACTTGGGAGGCTGAGGTGAGAGGATCACTTGAGCAGGAGAGGCTGAGGCTGCAGTAAGCAGTAAGCTGTGGTTGCACCACTGCACTCTAGCCTGGATGACAGAGCAAGACCACGTCTCAAAAAAAAGAAGAGGCTAAATTAGATAATTTACAACCAGATCATGGAGAGAAGAGCCCTCCTTGGACCAGCTACAATTCATGTTGAATAAATATGAATCCAGTTCTCCAGAGCGTTTGAGAGGCAAATATCAAACCAGTGAAGATTTAAAACATCAATATGTCTACATAATTCTCTTCCAAAATGATCAAACATTTTTTTAGAGACTAAATTTCCCCACTAGCTAAAGCAATCAAATACGTACCTTACTCAAATATAGTCTAAAAAAAGAGTAACCCCAAAAGAAAAATTTCATTTGTTTGTTATTTGGATACACGATAACCTAGGACAGACGCTCTCCACTAAATCTATGTACTCAGGAAAAGATGTACATAAAGCCATGCCACTTATTTTTCTACCTTATCACCCATCACTTCTTACATAACCCTCTAGTCTCCAACATCCCTAGACAGCTCCCTCACCCCACCCGGCTCCCACCCAAGCCCTTCTCACTCGCTGGGATGTCCTCTGCTCAGAATGTGCCTATTCTCCACATGTCACCCCATCCCTAAGGATTTTTCCTCCTTGGAAATCTATACCCTCGTCTAAGTTTTCACTCTTTGACCAGTTATTTACTATTTCCTGTAGATATTTATCCTTTTGTGCCTTGATCCCTTGCCCTGCTTTTCCCCACCCACATTAAATGAAAAGTGCTTTTAAAACAAGGACACCTTATACCCCCAATGGAATAAATACTGATTAAGTATCTACTGTGTGTCCAAGCACTGGGCTAGATGCTTTCTCATTGGCCTCTTTATAATCAAAGTCTAGCACAGGCTCAGACGCACTGTAACATGTACTCAATAAAATGTTTGCTAATTGAGACATCAGACCATCAAAATCCAGCAGCATGAAAAGCTGTATTACTACCTTGCCTTCCAGCTTCACAAACCCTAAATGCATTATCTCCGAAACACTTGATCTCTGTCCAACGGTAAACAGGAAAAGTCAAATACTTAGACTTCTGGTCTAACTCACTGGCAGTGAAAGAAACAGTCTCTTCAGTGTGACAAGTTAGATTCAACAAGCATTAATTGTTGGTTCTAATATACGCCAACCAATGACATTGCTAGAGATTAAAGCTAAAGAGAAAGGCTCTTCACATTAGAGCAGCTCCCGGTTAGGAAAGCACCATGCAATACATGCAAAGAACATGAGACTCAGTGTATTTGACAGATGTGTGTAATGTGGACCTGTGAAACAGAAAATCCCTAAGACTTGGTAAGACTATTATGGCAGGTCTTGTAGAGAAGATAAGCCTCCCTGAAACTTGAAGGACACCAAGGACAAGGGCAATAAGCATTTCATGGAGAAGGAACAGCATGCACAAAGGCCCAGAGATAACGGACAGTCGTTTATCATTCTGAGGTCAAGGGTAAGTATGTGAGGAGGACTCTTAAAAATGGACTGGAGAGGTGGTAGTGCCAGATTCTAAGGGGCCTTGATGACAAACTATCCCCTCAAGAGACTGACTGCCTTGAGGTCGGACCTCACATCTGTGCATACTTGTGTCCTCAGAGCCTGGCACAGTACGTTGTCCTAGTACTTTCTAAACCATATCCTCTGGGAACTGGCTCTAGACTGACTCTGGTAGAGTTAGGGACTCCTTCCTTCTGCTCGCCTAACTTCCTCTAGAAGAGACTCATCATGTTGCTTGAGTAAACTGTGTATATTCTTGAGCACCACAGAACCAAATGGTCCCTTTAAGAACAGAGAACTTGAGCACCACAAAACCAAATGGTCCCTTTAAGAACAGAGGCTAGGCTTATTCACCTTAGTATTCACAAGACTTAGACTGCTGGACACATGTCAAAGACCCTTAATTAACCCAGCTAAATGAACATACCCATATTCTACTAGTCCATCTCCAAACCTTCCTTTAAGCAGTTACCTAGATCTTCCTACATCTTTCTGCTGCTCCCTAACAGGAATCATTAGGAAGAAAACACAATGACTGAAACCACCTATGAAATCTACATTCACACACACACACACACACACACACACACATGCACTCACACACATCCTGCCCTCCCCCCAAATCTGCAAACAACTTAGCACAAACATATTGACACCCACATATGTAGAAACACCCCCACACAATCTGTCATCCTGTATACGTCTAACCTCAAACAGCCTTAATTTTGTCTCTGCTAAACTCTCACAGCTACAAAATACTTTCTCTTCATTCTTCTACTGAAGAATGAAGGCATTCTGGGAGGAAAATATCAATGTAATGTGACTTTGCACTTTGGAAGGGGGAAAAAGAGGTGCAAGAAATATTGAGATGTAGTTAATTTGACCCCATATGGTTTCCTGCTCAAGTTATTAATTTCCCAGTCACTTCATATTATTCCAATAATGTAAATTCTCATGAAATACAAGTAACTTATGTTTCCATTCAGAACTTGAGCCATTCCACAGAAACCTAGTTTTCATGCAGTTATTTTCATCTTGCACTGTGCCACAAACTACAATGTACTAGGATGTTACCCTTACCATTTCATACATTTAGAATTTCAGAACTCAAGAGTTTTATGTTAAAGTATCTGCATTACAGGCTTTTAAAAAAAGGATATTAAGACTAAAAGCATAGCAGCAACTGCCAGTTGTCCCCCTACATTCATTCTCTCCTTATCTATAGTAAGAGTATTCCCAGGATTTTGTTGCACCTATGGCCACCCAAAATAAAGACTATATTTCCAAACTCCTTTGCAGTTGCTTGTTCACATATGACCAAGTTCTGGCTGATGAGACATAAGTGAAAGTGACAAATGCAATGTCAAGCTGTACTTACTTATTTTTCAGATGGAGTCTTGCTCTGTCGCCCAGGTTGGAGTGCAGTGGCACAATCTCGGCTCACTGCAACCTCCCCTGCCAGGTTCAAGTGATTCTCCTGCCTCAGCCTCCTGAGTACCTGGTATTACAGGTATCCACTACCACACTCAGCTGATTTTTGCATTTTTAGTAGAGATAGGGTTTCACCATGTTGGCCAGGCTGGTCTCAAACTCTTGACCTCAGGTGACCCACCTGTCTTGGCCTCTCCCAAAGTGCTGGGATTACAAGTATGAGCTACCATGGCCAGTCAATCAAGCTATACTTTTTTAAAAGTAGGTACATCCTCTCCCTTCTCACTTTCAAAATATCTGCATGAAAACTAGATTCCTGGAAAGTAGGCCTGGTGGCAGCCACCTTGAATTGCAGGGACCTGGGCAATTCCTTTGGAATGGAAACCCAAGGGATGGGTGACCCACAGAACAAAAAGAGTTTGGGCTTCTGACAGTTCTCAGTGCAGACTTTACATTAAAGAGAAAAATCTTACATCTTTATGCTTCTGTTACCTTGAGTCTTTGTCACAAAAGCTTCATTTATGATCTAATTAATTCAAAGCATAGCATAAATGAACAAAAGCAATCTCACTTCTTTTCTTCAGAAGGGGTGTCAGAGTTTCTGGAGATGGTGCCCCATGTGTACAAGTACAGTTTACTGGAAAATAGACATATACACAACTCACCATCAGGAGACCAGTGCTCTAGTCCTAGCTTTTACCACTTAAGATGTGCCCTCAGGAAAGTTACCAACTCTTTGAGTCTCACTTTCCATCTCTGCAAAATAGAGCTTATCCCTTCTTTGGTACAGGCCTCAAAGGACTATTGTGAAGTGTGAAGAGAGATGATTTCTGTGCAAGTGCTTCATATACTGCAAAGCACTATACAGGCAGGGTGATTATTAAAATATTTTACCCCAAAATCCTTCTTTATGCAATGTAGCTCATATTCACACCCAGTACCTGAATATACCTTCCTGGTGAATAAAGAGCCTGCAATCACCTGTTCTAGCTAAGATGGTTAGAGATCAATTTGAGATGTCAGGAGCAGACCACTTCTGGAGCCTGGTGTTTCATTCAACCATCAAAGATAAGACCTCAAGCCCCAACTCCTCAACTTAAAATGTGCCATTGATTAGAAAGCCAAAGGGTTTCAACCAAACAGTATAAACCCAATACCACATGGAGAAAAACTGCCCAAAGCCCATATACTACTAAAATATGGTGCTTATCTTACCACATCTCATATCTCATCTGCTGAAAGGTATTTGGCTTTTTCTATTGGATATATGAATATATGAATGGCAGAATCACTCCCTGATGAGATGTCTGTATTTTCCTTCCTCATGTAGATAAACATATAGTAGAAAACTAAGTGTAGGAGAAAGGTACATAAACTAGATAATACATGCATCTCTGCAGAGAACACCTCAAATAATCATCAGCCAAGACATGTGGTCCAATTGCACCCATTTTCAATGGGGGATACGGTGTTTTAGATCCTAGTACAATGGGCTGTTGGCTAATAATTATTGAGGCCTTACTATATGCTGGCCACTACAGAACCTAAGGGCTTTACGTATATTCTGTCCTCTAATTCTCTCAATAGCCCGACTGCTATTATCCCTCCCCATTTTTCAGATGAGGAAATAGAGGGCTGGAGAAACTAAGCTGTTTAAGTTCACCCAACTTACATGTGGTATAGTCAAGAATGAAACTCAGGCCATCTTACCTTCAGATCCACACACTTAACCACTGCCTCACTCTGCCTTTTATATAAGCAACAACAAAGTAGGATCAATACTCATATTCCCTTTGGAAATATTTTCTAATAAAACAAAAGTTTCAACTGGAAAGAATGTCAGAACTATTTAGGTGCACCTATATAACAGCTGTTCTAATTTTTAAAAAATGAATCAGCAATGGAATAGAATCTACGGAGACGGGAAGCCAGGAGTGTGAACTACAACACATTTGCCCTTCCCTAGAACCCCTGGTCTCATTTCAGCTCACAGGATGGTGCTACTGACTACTAGACCTTAGTGTGGGTAGAAAATTTTTTTTCAGAGAATACCTCATATTAACTTACCAGCATTTTTTTCATTTCATTCCCTCACCTTCTCAAAAAACACCTGTGTCACCTAACATTTCTACATAAACCCAAAATGGAAACCCCCAAGGCCAACAGCAGAGGAAGGATTTCATTCTTTCTTTCTTTTTTTTTTTTTTTGAGACAGAGTTTCACTCTGTTGCCCAGGCTGAGGTGCAATGGCACGACCTCAGCTCAACTGCAACCTCCACCTCCTGGGCTCAAGCGATTCTCCTGCCTCAGCCTCCCAAGTAGCTGGGACTACAGGCGCACACCACCATGCCTAGCTAATTTTTGTATTTTTAGTAGAGATGGGTTTTACCATGCTGGCCAGGCTGGTCTCGAACTCTTGACTTCAGGCAATCCACCCACCTTGGTCTCCCAAAGTGCTGGGATTACAGGAATGAGCCACTGTCCCCTGCTGGATTTCATTTTTAATCTGCACTTCAGTGTGAGATGAGCTGCAGCTTCATTTCTACCTGCCACCCCTTTCTGCGGGGTGGATGCTGACTGGGCTGGAGTGAAGAAACACCAGGTAATAACATCCCTGTTCTTGGCATGTTCTTTACATGTCAAGCAGCCTGATGGTGCTTTACCTGTGCTACTTCACAGAAATCTTTCAAGGTAGGTGATTTTTCCATCTTAGGGATGAGAACACGAAAGCCCAGGGATAGACACCCAGCTAATAAGTGGCTGAGCTGACTTTTGAGTCTGGGTCTGACTCCAAAGCCTGTTCTCCTGCAGCATCATGCTAGGATTTCCTAGGAAGGAAGCCAAGAAAGGGACACAGGAGCAAAAGACCCCACCCTTCTTCCATCATAGCAGAGGTCCTCTCATCCCTCTGCTACATTCTCTCCCACACCTCACCAGGAAGCTGATCAAAGAGGAGTATCAGTTTGTGTGCTCTACAGGGACAGAGAACAGGCAGTGGCCAGGCTGTGAAAGCATTTAAACAGACCTGCATGGTCCGGTCTAGATACTAGCACAGGTGGCTCCTGAGTACCCAAAATGTGGCCAATCTGAACTGAATGTGCTGTAAGTGTAAAAATGCACCAGATTTTCAAGGCTTTCCAATAGAAAAAAGAGATAAGGAAATGTAAAATCGCTCATTAATAATTTTTATCAATTATTTACATGCTGAAATGATAATGTTTTGGATATATTGAGCTAAATAAAATACAATATTAGAACTAATTAGTACAATTAATTACTTTTTAAATGTACCTGCTAGAAAATATAAAATTATATATGTGGCTCACGTTACATTTTTATTGGAAAGTGGTCTTAGAGATCATGTTAAATAATCTGTACTTTAAGAACAATGGCAGCCATTGTGAGCTTTTAAACAGAGACATAACATGATCAGAAATGAATTTTAAAATCTTACTTTGGCTACAAAATGGAGAATGGGCTGACAAAGGCAATGAGCCAATGTGGGGAGAGTTTTACAACTTCTAGAAGAAGAAAGATGACAGTGGCTGAAACAGTGCTTATAGCAGCAGAGATGGAAAAAGCAAACAAATGTAAATCATATTTAGAAAGTAGTGCCCATGAGATTAAAATAAAAAAAAACAAAACACTGATTAAAAGGGCCTGTATCAGGGATGCCTCCCAGGGTTTTGCTATGAGCTGAGTGAACGGGGCATTCAGCATTCATCGTCTGGTATTTACACATGCACAAAAAAAAGTCTATCAAGTATCCTAGGGTCATACTAGCCTGTCTCCATGAAGTTCCCCTGCAAGAAGCATGAATCATAGATGCTCTGGGGATTTTGGAACTAGTGCATGCTGTTCCAAAGCGCTTTCCTTCTGAAGAGCTCCCAGAAGTGCTTCAAGATTTTGCCAAGTCAAAAAACACTTAGGAAAGCTGTCGGAAATGATCGTAATTGATGCTAAGACCGGGAAACAGGCTGAAAGCACAGCAAGTGGAATGGACTGGGGTGGAAGAAGGGTGGGGTTGGCTCCAGTGTCCCTTTCTTGGCCTAGGAAATCCCAGCATAATGCTGCAGGGGACAGGCTTTGGAGTCAGACCCAGACTTAAAAGCCAGCTTGGTCACTTATGAGTTGGTGTATCTACTCCTGGGCTCCTCTAGGGTTCCATGTTCTCATGCCTAAAATGTGAAAATCACCACCTACCTTGTAAGGATTTCATCCAATGGCTGTTATCACTCAGGCTTTCTCTTCCACTCCAGCCAAGTCAATACATGTCCCTTTGGAAGGGATATCGGGTATAAACAAAACTTCAGGTCATCTTACCTCTCACAGGTGAAAGCATGACAAATCTCAGTAAAGGCTAGGCAGGTTGTTCTGGTGTTAACTACACAGGGAACCAAACACCACGCCATGGCTGCTGTGGCCTCAGAGGCCTGCTCCTTCCAGGGCAAGCATTATCATGAATAATTAAAGCCAAGCTCTGCTTATCAAAATAAATGAACAAAGGATGCCTCTGACACAGTAGTCCTCCCCCTCCCGTGCTTTTTTGGTTGTTTTAGGAGACCACTTTTTCTCAGCTACTGCTCCTACCAATTTGATCATCTTCAGCGACATCCCTATCAGTTTGGGAAAATTAGCAAGCTTCTCCTCCATATGGAGCTGTGGCCATAAATCACCAATATGAGTGTGTGTAAAATTATATAGCATAGGCCCAGTGTAATAATAAACACATTTATATTTTATAACTGCTGTTTTCTCCACCTTCAAGCCGCTTCATTGCCTGGGCCCCAGAGGATCCCAAGCACTCCCCACTGGCTCCTGTGTGCGGCCGTCTTGCTTTGTGTGCAGTTTAGTTCCCCCTGGTCACAGACTGCTATCTGCCAAATGCCAGCCGGCTCTTCTTTGTGCTGCAGTGGGCAAGGAACCATTCCAGCTTACAGTTCTCTCTGCAGCAGAACACAGACACAAATGAGCAGGTGACCTTTCAAACCACATCAAAACAGGCCCTTGAACCAGAGACCTCAAAACTTCAGTGGGTTCGCTGTCTAAATCACCCAACTAAAAAGACCTATGTTTGCACAATGTGATTGTATTTACACAAAGATTTAACGCCTCAATAGAGCAAAAGCTATTCAGTTAATTTTAATTATTGCTTTATTCTTCTTGCAACAGCTTTTTAAAAAATGCTTAACAGTGAGCCTATGGTAATTGGTCCTATAAGTTTTGTACCTGTGGTCCTTGTAGCTCATACAATGACAGGAATGGGAAGGGTGCATGAAAAGTTTTCCCTGGTTGCAAAGGGAAAACTTTCCACTTTCGGGCTTTGCTCATTGACTATTCTTTTTGTATAAGATGCACACCAGGAAAACCACAAGAAAATGCTTAGGATCTGACAGAGTGAGGGGGTTTCTAACCCACACACAGGTGGGTTAGAAAGCATTCTAAATGCTTAGTAGCCAATTATAAGCAAGGAAAAGGCTATTATCAAATTGGGTCCAGGGCCCATCAACTCTAACGATTTATTAAGGTTATTTCCATGGCAGGTAGGATGAAATAAAAGTGGGAATTTTGAAAATACAAAGATGTACAGGAACACAGAATCACACTCAAAAATACCTATAGACAAACAATCCTTAAAAGAGTGGAGCCCTCAGGGGTAACGTGTGTTATTCCTTCTGCCTTTCAGGAATTTGTCTTTTGGTATTATTATCTTTTCTTTCTTCAGATCTCTGGAAGATAATATAAGTGCCCATCACTCTGAGGTTCCTGTAGATCCTTTTGGCAGAATGCTAGAAAGCAGCTATTCTTCTTCACTGTGTGCTTTTCTGAATTCAGAGGAGAGACTGCTGCATATCTCAAGCAAAATCATAACCTGAGTTTGGGATCTTTGCCCATTAGTAGACTTACAATTCCTGTATTTACCAAAGATTTTTATTCTTAAGACTTCTAACCCCTCTATACATATCCTCAAATAACTGGGAAAAAACAAAGATAAAATAAAATTATCCTTAGCTCCACACTTACCATACAAACAAAAATAAAGGCACAGAACTCATTTCTTCAGCCTCACCTAGCAAAGCTCTGGTGTAACTGAGAGAAGCATACAACTTACAGACCAAGATCCACCCATCCATAACTTCCTTCGACCTCTTTAAGGCATTTCCATTTGGATTTTCAGCTTAGTAAGAAACAGGATTGCTAAGGTGCATTCTTTCCAGGGGTTCAGAGAAAAGCTTCTATTTACTGTGTCTCATCATGAATTATCTAAAATATGCAAATGCACTAGTACTGAGACATCACTTCAAGAATTAATACCTGGCATTTGTTTGTGCCTTCAAAACTTTCTTCATTAAAATAGGGGAAAACCAACTAAGATCAAGGATTCTTAGGTTCAACCAAAATAGACAGAATGTAGGAATATATAAGATAATCACTCAGTTTTCTTAGTTATTCTGAATTTGTAGTCATACCGAGCAAGTCAAATAACAACAAATATTAAGCCATTTATTTTTCTGAACTGTAAACAAAACTAAAATAATTTATATTCTTTTTAACTTAGCCTCCCAAAAGAAACAACTGATCTCTAAAGGAAAAACAGAGTAAGGCAGGCTCTGTGACTGTTCAGCAGTGAAGCCTTTGAAAAATGATTCTTTGAGCTTCAGTTCCCTCATTTGTACAATGGGTATAATGAAGATTTACCCCATAAGTGAAGGTTAAATGGAAGGATGTATGTGAAACACTTGGCAACTGTAAAGATCAATACAAGTGATATTGCTTACTTAGGTAATGTACTAATGTGGAGCAGCCATTCCCAGGCTTGGTACCCAATTGTTTTTCACTCCCAAAGCCAATGAGTACAAATGCCTTGGCCTACCCAATTGCTTTAGCACATCTGCTCTGGGAAGCTGACTAAATAACTCACTGCATCTTTAGGTCATCAAGATAAATATTACTAATTCCCTACTGGGTCTAAAACTAAGGTCCGATAACAACCGTGATCCAAAACATGGCACTTAGCATGACCCCACGAGGCCAGCTCACTAATGGCAATCTCTCCAAGTGGCAAGGGATAAGCTAATATATGTAAAAGCCACAGATGTCACGTATTCCCCACAGCCGCATTCACATGTATGAGAGGAATAAAGTCAGCAGTATTATCTCCAAACAGCAAGGACAATGCCATACAATTATAATAGCATATTGTCCATTGTATCTGGGGATGACACGTCTGACAATGTTATTTTCTATGCACGTGAATGTAGCTCAAAGGGCCAATGCATAATTCACAGCTCCTGACAAAATGCAGACATAAAATATGTGTCTATTAGATAAAGCTATTTAAATCCTTTCCCCTGAAATAGCACCATTCTCCCTAAGAACTCAAAAAGCTTCCAGTATGTTCCTCATGGTGCTGGTGCAAACCAGAACGGTGAATAGTAGGAAATGCACTGAAATAGCAAATACCAGTGCAATATACAGTTTTCCCAATACAATTTCCCAGGGAAAACACGTCACTCTTATTTCTTCATGAACAGTTAATCTTCTTTTTGATAACGAGGAAACAACTGTTACATTTCAGCAAGGCTACGGTACTGGAGAAAACAGGTAGAGAATGACAATGGTGTGGCTCGTCAGCACCAAGTCAGCTAAACCCATTTCCTGGCAAAACAACTCCCTACCACACACCAGCCTGGCAGCTGATGTGATCAAACCACTGTCTCAGTAAAATTTCAGATTATTACAGGTCAGGCGCCTTCTGCAAAAGGGGAGGGCATGAGGCTCGTGAAGGGTCACAATCACGAATCTTCAATCTAGGAAGTGAAGCATTTAGTGGAGGCAGGAAGATTTCTTTCTTATCATAAGGGGAAAAGTGGCACATCATCTAAGTCCTGACAGAAATAATAAATAATGCAGTATTTCCATTTAGTCAATATTGTTAAAGATCATAAAAGGGAAGAAGGCAAGACCTGGTGGGTAGTCTTAAAAGGATAAGGAAATGTTTTGCAAGTGGTTCAGTGCAACCTACGGGGAAGAGGACAACTAAGGTTGCATTAGGCCAGGGTTTCTCAACCTTGGCACTGTTGACCCTCAGGCCCATATGATCCTTTGCTTCAGGGTTTGTCCTGGGCATTGTAGGACACTTAGCAGAATACCTGTCCTCCACTTCCCAGATGCCAATAGCATACCCCCAACCCCAGATATGACCATGAAAAATGTCTCCAGACATTGCTAAATGTTCCCTGAGGGACACAATCTCCCCTGGTTGAGAACCACCACATTAGGCAACTAATGAATGATCTCACATTTTGGGAGAGTGGCTGGACCAAAAGATTTGCTCTCACACATAATGGCCTCTTCAGACATTGATAGGATGTCCCAATAACCTTCTTAAGCCATTGTGTGACTCTCCCATTCCTGTTATGCCCTTACTGGCTTCAGAAGTTCTTAAAAGTTCAGGGAAGGCCCATCTGTGTGGAATGCTCTCCCCGAGAGCACAGGCCACATAAGGTTTTGAGTATAAGGTGTCCAGTTACAGTCTGAGGGGGGCTGAATCCGGCTCTGCTCCTCAAGCACAGGGTAACTGCCCCATGCAAAGGGCACCTTTTTCTAATTCACACAAAAGCATATTATGGTTTAGCAGCAGCCCTGCTGGGAGACTAGCAGCCATCAGATTCTTCATTTCCAATTTTGTCAACCAGTTTACTTGATGTCAAAGGTAGCAGCTTTGTGTGGCAATGAGAATTAGCAAAGCAGGTTTTCAGGACTGAGGAGAACCAGGAGTTGAAGCAGCTCCTCCTTTCTTCATTCCCCAAAGCATGCTTGCTTGTATGCCTGCACTCTCACTATTGCTTTAAACATGGAGACATCAAAAGAAAAAAGATCTGCTCTCCCAGAAGAGTACAATGAGAGGAAGCTCAGAAGCATGCACTGATGTTCTAACCATGACCACCTTCAGCCTTCAAAGCCCCCTGCCTTGGCTTTCCAGGGTCTTGCCAGAGCCATAGTGAGGCTGTGTAACCACATCCAATCAACCAGTGAAGAGGATGGCTGGGTGAGATAACTCCCCAGACTTCTTTGGACTTTTCAATCTATAACCTGCTTAAGTCAAACAGGGACAATCCATAACATACTTGCAAAGTTGCTACTCTGACAGTCTGCTGTCAACAAAGATGAACCACTCAAACAAAACCACTCCCCTCCCAAAGTCAGAATATACAACTTGTCAAGTGACAAAAAGATATTCTGACTTCTGACGGTTTTTTGTAAGTAAATGGCTAAATCATTTAATGGGCAAATGGTTTTGAGTGATTAACAACTGGTCCTTTTAATAGAGGTAGCAGAAATAATATTACACCTGGTCTGTAAGTTGTCCTCTGATAAGATGATTTTTCTTTTGCAATCTGAATGCTACTGATGGCTAGCTGGTTTCCTTTAGATAGGTGTTAACACTGCGATCTTCTCTCGATCATCCTGGCCTAGTTGGAGAGGCCTTCTGCCTATGTTAAGGGTACTTTAAGTAGAAATGATTCCCTAAAGCCTGAATTTATCTTATGGTAGAAGGGCTTGTAGCTCAGGCCAGGCCTCCTCCTGCTTCAATTGTGATAGGGTATGGTGGATCTCATTAGTATGGGAAACCAGTAACAGCCATTAGTGTCAAATAAGAGTTGCCTTTGCTAACTATTTCTGTGCACAGTCACACAACATGCACTGAGTTTTCTCAATAAAACAGCTCCTTCCCAGGGGAATAAAGCTGCCTCTTCAAGGGGCCCCAATTTCCATACACTTTCTCAACCATTTAAAGTAAAATCTCCTTGGAGCATCCCTTCAATTCTGAAGAATCTTCCCTGTCACACTTCCAGTGAGAATTTCAATCATGATGAAATGGAAACTTCTACTTCAACCAGAGATGACGACTATATGTAAAGTAACTACCTTTTTATTTGTT